CACGCAAAAAAAGAACTTGGTCAATATCCAGCCATCTTGACCTCACACTTGGTCAATAACCCATACATATTCAGACATTACTTTACTGGGGACGGAAAGGTGAATTGTATACCAGCTACCATATCCGCTTGATTTCCCAATATAAAGATTTAAAAACAAAAGTGGTGTCGTGGTTTTCTTTAGTTATCGGACAAAATGCGAGTCACCAACTGGCGACCAGTTCTGAAAATTTAGTCGCCAGTGCTCAATTTTTGGTCGCATTGGCGACCAGTGAGTCGTAATTTCGAGCCCTGCCTGCAGTATCTCTACCAATGCCAAGTGAAGAGCGACTTGACAGTTGGGTTTGCTTAGATTGATGAAATCTGGATTGCCCAGGACACCGCCTGAAACTGCTCAAAAGTTGAATGTCAGTGAGTTTTTTCTGTCCTTTGAAAACTTTATGGCCAAATTTCATAGCCCTCTTTGCATTTTCTGGTGTAGCATCCTCTTGTACTCTCAGGATTTCAAATTGAACAGAAACACATACTGGCAAAATGTAAGTTTACACCACCCATTTTGTTTTTGCTTGGATCACGCATTATTCACTCAGTTGGGGGTGAATAATGCTCACTAGCCAGAGATAGCAAACCAATCAGATTGCTTGGGACACTAAGATCACTGAGGGTGTATATACTAAAACCTATTATTACATGGCAAGGTAGTCTTGAAGTAACTCTGAGCATTCTGATTGGTTCTTTCTTGGTCAGGATTTTGCCAAACTGTAGACTGTTTTCATGGAAACGGTCATATCCCGTGTAGTTTTTGTTTTTGAAAGCTGACAAATTCAATCAACAGGCACGGTCCAAGCACAATTTACTAACTAGCCTGCTCAAGCTGTACTGTTCCGGAATATTGTACAAAACAAATAAGGTAGCTCGTCTTGGGCCAACTGCACAAAGTTAACTCAGTCTGAAGTCAAAACCATTTGGTCGAATATTTACCGCTATTTACACAAGTAAGAGATAATAAAATACATGTATAGTTTTGAGTCCTAAATTCAGCTGTTAACTGATTACATCACTATTTAAATCAAATACACAACACTGTACTATTTGATTTAATATCATATTAAAAAAAATAACGATTAATATCATCACCTGTAGTAGATATCACAACCCCTATATATTATGGCAAGGTCAGGATTAGACACAACTGTATCATCATCTCTGCGGAACCTGTAAAACAGCATCTCATCTTTAAACTGATGATCATCACAGACTGGTAAAAAAAGGAGGAGAACAGAGGAGTCAACACCTTGGAGGAATTATGGTTTATCAGAGCAGTCAGTGTAAAATGCAGACTACAGACTGCAAACCAGGGGTAAAATGCAGAGTGAGGGTAGAATGCAGACTGCAGACTATTTGTTAATAATATTTTGTATATCATGTTGTTTCCAATATGAAGTGCGAACCATAAACAGACTAACCTAGGTATATATTCAGTCTAATCGGAGTGAAAGTCTGCACTCTGGTTAGCCTGAATAGCATTCTGGTTAGCATGAAAATCAGTGAAGTTTGCCTGAGTAATGCTCAGATTAGCCTGTTTATGGTTGCTCTTAATAATGGAAATGGTAACTTGATTCAAGTCAGCGTTGTACACTGACCGTTTATCAGACCTGGTTTTCATACAATAAAAAACTACAGGTTAACTTCAGCCTCATCATTGTTGTGAGATAAAATGACATAACAATATACTGGTTGCCTAGCCTGTAGCATCATGAAAATCAGAGGGATATCAGAAAGAAAAGATATGTCGAAGATGACGAAGATGTAAATTTTTGGAATTAGAAACCATGTTTGCCTCCATTGACTTAATTGAAACGGGAGTGGCTGTTTGGGGAAACGAAAGTTAAGCCATCAAAAACATGAGTCACATAACTGCACACAGTGCTCCCACAAATACGCTAGATAGTTTTGTGCTACCGTTGGATAGAAGCTATGTTTCTATGAATGTTTCGGTTTTCTTTTTTTCTCTAAAGTGAAAATCTTCCTAAGCTCAACAATAGCCTGACTGATCAAAGGCTAGTAAACAGAAATTAGGTTGGTAAATGTACCAGGCATAGAAATGAGGTTGTGGCACAACACTTCAAAATTTATTTTCCTCACCCGATAGCTATCGATTCACTTTATAATAATCAAGGAGCTATGTTTACCAGCACGCGTCTTTGTACCCATTCACGAACATGTACAGGTTGTAGATTGTAAAATATTTTAAAAGACCTCCTACAAGCTCCCACAATAAACTAATTAATTAACCAATTAAGAAATACTACCGTGACAAAAGAAATTATCTCAGAAGTCGATAGAATAAATTAGAGATTGTGTTTTGTAAACTAATATCAGCTCGGACTCTCAACCTGCAAGATATTACCAATTTGACACGGACTGATGCATTTGAACGGTGTAGAAGATAAGCAAAATGTCTCTGTCTTTTTTGTATTTACCGTGATGGAATATGCTGTTCTCCAAAAGAATATTCATGCACTGAATTGCTCCTCCACGGCTGTTGGCGTCGCCATTCTTAATCAACCAGTCCACAAGGTCACGGCCCACAAAACAGCAAGAGTACATACGGAGGTGATAGCGCCGGTCGCGGATCATGGCAGGATCTTGTTCAGCACGCAGTCGGTTTCTTAGGTGCTCTCCAACCAAGACAACTTGTAGCGCTTTTAAAGAGAGTTGATCTGTCATTCTCAACGAAGAAAAACCATCACTATGCGTTTCATAGCCAACCCGGCTGCGAACTGACGCGCTGTGCGCTACATTATCTAGTGTGGAGATCGGAAACCCTGCAAGTCGAAGATCTGAAAAGACAAGAGGACTGGGGAGTAGTTTGTTCATTATGTGTTCGTTTTCCCGCCAGCCGCGTGATTGATCAGATTGATTGATTGATTGATCGATCGATCGATTGCTTAATTGATTGCTTGCTTAATGATTGATTATCTTATTTTGTGGAACAAAAACTATATTCCTTCGGTAGGTTCATATATCACTGAAACTGATCCAGAGTATTTCAGGCCGTGCCGAACAAATCTGGCACATGGAAACGAACTCTGTAAGGCCAAGGGAAAAGAAACACTTCCTTAAAATGTTTCGCCAAAGTTCCCGTTAATAGTAGTGAGTTCCATCGAAACAAGTGATTTTCCCTTGAATTTTCCTAGAAATAAGCTAAAAGTTATCTCGGCTAGGCTATCTTGGAGGGAGGGTTGTCTCGAGTAACCAAGACCATATAAATGGGGCCCTAACATCCTCGCAAAGCGCGAAAATACACTGGGTACGATGTGAGAAGGATCAAAGGGCGTGGCCGAGGTGCGAAAAGGTAAGGACCGGTAAGAAAAGGACCAAATTGTAATAATATAACAGTAAGAACAGATCAGCCAAATCAGCCAACAATAGCCGAACAAAACGTTCAGGAAGGTTGAGTTGCTCATATTTCCCGATTTTCGGTTTGAAAAACAAATCTATAGATACTGGATTTATCTCGCTGGAGAGAGAAAGATGAGAAGTAAATCTCCGTTTCCAAGGATATGCAAGGGTATGGCGTAAACTTCCTAGTCCAGCCTCTCGACTGGTCAGCGCTACCTCCATGTTTTTCCTGGTCAAAATGTGCCGACACCTGGGGTGGGGGGATGAGGCCGATAAAAAAACAAACTAAAATACATATCTTGTAATCATCTCTCTTTTTTTCTGACAACTGTAACAGAGTAACCATCCAAGACGACCCAACACCTCAGCGGATTTAGTTTCAGACCTGGCACGTGCACGCACACTACTGACAAACATCAGTTTTCACGGCGTTAAAGTTGAAATTGCTAAATTTGAGAGACGCTGATGGCCTAAGGTCCTCATAAACGGACCTTTTACATTTAATCTGTATGTTTTCTCGTCCGTTTTTTTATGTTATTTTGTTTATTTTTTTCGTAAGTGAAAGATTATCACACAACAAACCTCAGTTTCTCTATCTATGAAATTGGCTGTCTTACTCCAATAACCCCTACGACTATCACAGCAGCCAGCACTCTGATTAATTTTATTCTTTTCTACATAAAATGAATGTTTTTATTGCAAGACTTAACTCTGTACACAGTAAGTAACTGGCATTTCACCTTTTATTAGCTATAAACTATTCCACTATTCTACAAGTATATACAAAGGTTTACAAAACCCGTCCACTGGCATACGTAGGGACAATAATGCCTTTTGGGAATTACAAAAAAATGATTGAAATTTTTTATCTGGATTTTGCTACAATTTCAGTCACATGCAAGAAATAGCGATGTCCATAGATATAACACTCGCTCCAAAGATCATCTTAGACTTCCAACAGTAAAACGGAACTGGGGTAAACAGAGAACTTGTTATCATGCCTTTMAAGACTGGAATGCCTTGGACAGTGACTTGAAGAACTCTGACACCATATGTCAGTTTAAAAGTAATTTTTTTAAATCTATTAGTCTATAATTTACTTTTGTAATTTGTGTATTTATTTTTTAATAATTTAATGTTATTTTGGATTGGGACCTTTCTGTAGATCACCTACGGGTGAGAAAGCTTCCCATTAAAATATCATTATTATAAACAGACATTCTAGAAGAAATCCAGTGCGTTAATTTCTCAATAAGTTACTAACTTAAGTAAATAATTCAAACACTTGGCAAAATAGATATTTCTAGCAGTTTTTTATGCTGGACTTTGATAATGGGCACCGCATACTATTGCAAATTATTTTTTCAACATTCTACAGTACCCTCAAGTCAGTAACTCTTTTTCAATTTCAATGGGATTATTTGCATACAATTAAATATAAGTTAAACGAGATTGCTGCTAACAGACATCTAAAGACTGCTCAAACAATTGCCTCTTTTCTTCTGAAAACGTTTCTTGAACAAGGGTGCAGGCACTGTTGTCATGGGAGCGCCCAGTCATCACTCGACACAGCATATTCTCACGGCAGCTGGCATCACATGAATGATTAGGTGCAGATTTCCAGAAATATCTGCCACAGAGAAGATGGATATGAATAAATAAATAGTTATGTCATCTTTCACTAATTAATATCGATTATAATTCCCACACTGCAAATGTTGAAAAAAATAACTCAAGTTACACATTAGAACTTAAAAATTTGAAGTACAAATAAGAGCATCAGTTTTCATGGCTTTAAAGTTGAAATTGCTAAATTTGAGAAAGAAAATGCTCAGCAAAGTTCCAATCAACAGAAAGCACCCTCATTCCCTTCAGACTTTTTGTGTTTAGCTCACAGGTACTAATGCTGTGTGTTATGTTCAAAAGTACATAGATCTGGATCTCGTTTTAGTACTAATTATTGCTGCAGGACCTCATTTGTAGTCAAATGCACAAACATGACATGTTGTCTTTCCTGTCCAACTTACTTGTAGAACGTATTGAAGAGGGTGGTATTAGTTGCCATGCGATGAACCAAGTCGTTCCAATCTTTAGGTAAAAGTGATGGCATATCATAAGCCTCCTACAGGTGACACAGAAAAACGTTAACTATTAACATATGAATAGAAATCTGGGCCTAAATAGTTAACAGGTGTAAATTAAGTGTACTAAGATATAGTTCAGGCAAGTTCAACCAGCAGTCAAGTTATTGCAGGTCCTATTTTTCCAAACTGTGTACATTAAAATATTTGGTTGTCCACAAGAGAAAAATAAAATTCTATCCACCTGTATCAACATCTGCTACTTGTACATGTATAGCCAAATCTAAGCGCACTGTTTATAAATTACCTTAGCTGAATACTCCAGTTTCCACTGTAAATTCCCCTTGTTTGCTTCATCAAGGTCCAGAATGTACGTTTCATGGTTCAATACAACCTTAACAAAAATACAAATTCTTTTAGAGAGGAAACAACTTTAAACCAAAGTTACAGATTATATGCATGTAAGCTACTACATGTAGTTTTAAAATCCATAATGTAATGCAACTTCAGAAAATCACTAACATTTTTAAGAGAAAGGTTACATTGTGGGAGCATCAGACTATTGCATATTTTGCAAACGATCTACACCTGTAATAGGAGCTTTAAAGAGAGGAGGAAGACCTAATATACTTTTTGCATTTTATCGCTGCTGATTTGCACACATTGTGATAACATCAATAGCATATTACTAATTGAAAAGACTCTCTATACCCTGGAGCTGTTTGCATAATCTCCATCAATGTCATAAATCCTGTAGCCTGGGTTGTGGCCTTGATAGGTTGTAACACTTGGTCCAATGAAGGCAATACTGTCAAGAAAACCCAGAGATTTATATAAATGTCATCATTAGTAATGAACAGATACAACAATTATTCAAAGGAATATTGTTGTATTCTTACTTTGTGGGTGTTTTCCTTGTCTTCTCATCATAAAAGATTTCAAACTCATCAGCATGAGTGTGAGCAAAAAACTGTGCTGTTACAGTGCTCTGGTAGCGGTTCACAATCTTGTAATAATTCCAACTCCAGGGTTTGAGGCAATCTGAGTTTCCCGGAAGAATATGACCGATAATATGAACCTGTAAATACATAATACAAAAATCTGTAGAAATATTTATTCATGCATGATTTGTAACTTCTTACTCAATGTACATAAATAATTATGATGCAACCTCAATTTTTTTAAAGTGTTTAACATGTTTTAATATTAATATAATTCACTTACGAGCAGAAGATAATACAATGTTTATTAATTTGGTTTTTTTCTTAATCTCTTGGTCTTAACATTATATGACACTTCTAAGTACTAGTATAGTTGAACCTCCTGTAAGTGAACACCCTTGGGACCTGAAAATCTTGTTCAAAAGAACACATTTGTTGCGCAAGTCATCTGACTAGGAGATGTGGCTGCTTTCAGTTGACTTACTGAGGTTAAAAATGCAGTGTTTACATGTTAATTAACACCTCTACGGTGTTGACTTAGGACTCAACAGAAAACACAGACCTTTTCGCCATTATCTTCAGCTTCCTGTAATAAGTCTATCAACCACTGGAGTTCTTGAGCAGGGTCGACATTGTTGATTAAGAGCCACCTGGAAAACACTAACACATTACTACATACATCTACAAATAATTTTGAGATCCAAGCACTGATTACTTATATTCAAATGCATGGTTTTTAATACATGCACACATAACCCTTAAATGAAGAATTGTACCACTGAGTTTCTCAACTGTACAGAGGTACATACAAATTTATACATGTAGTATTAATAGTTATATTTGGATGTTGAAATAACCAAACATTTCATACAAATATTAATCCTATGAGTTACAATAACAACAACAACAACAACAACAAAATTAACAGACCAGTTCAAATTGTTACAGTAGTTCATGTTGAGTGACACTAATCTCAATCCTTTTGATAAATACACTGTATAGTAACCTCCCCTATAATGAAAAAATAAAAAAAAAATACTTAGAAACATAGTAACTACATGTACATGTATAAACGTGCATTAAAGTTGACATACAGGCCAACATTACCTACACCACGGAAGCTTACATTATTTTATGTATTCTAGTTCCCAAGAAGCACAAAGTGATAAGAAGTAAAGCATTGCATACTCATATTGTTACCCACAAGGAAGGCTGGCCCTTTGCAGCTCAGCCCACCCCCACCCCCCTCCCCCCTCAGAGCTCGTACGCCTATCTGTAATAGTTGGCAGGTACCGTTGTATACCCCAGGGTGAAAACATAATACCAGGGTTCTGACCCTGAGCAAAAAATGAAATTTCCAAAATATAAATTACAATGGTGTCGAGTTGTAACTGTAAAAAGTATCAAAAAATGTAATTACCTAATTCCTGTTAAGACTTGTTGGAAAATTTGATAATTCATTTTAAGGAAAGCAAGTAAACTTTTTGAATAGCCAGGTCTATAACCCTTAATTTGATAGCGGATTTGAGGGTTCTGTCAAAGTCAATGTAACTGCAAAGTGTTGCACTGGACTAGAGATCCCCTGAAAGTACAATTAAAGGTAACCTTGAGATGTCAATTACATAAGGTTGAAACATCTGCAATGATAACTGATATCAACTTACTTTTTCACTGTTTGTAAAGCATCATCTGGTAACCAGGTCTTCCAGTGGTCAACTAAAGAGTCCCTCAGCCACTGGTTTGAATTGGCACCAGTGATGAATGGAGGGGGAAAGCTGTGCATCAATTAATGGACAACACAAACAATTAGTAGTATGTATAATGTGATCGTCCGGGTGAGCATAGTGACGAAAAGAACTGTTGTTAGTGACTGACGTTTCAACAACCTGAGCAGATCGAATTCAATCATCTTCAGAGGAAAGTGAATCGTTAGCAACAATAGACAGATCGACACCGACCAATGACTGATGACAAACTTTACAAAAGTCTTTCAGCCAATACCATCATGGCTAACCTGACCAATCACTTACAACGGACCAGACTTACATGTATAACACCATCGACTGACAAACACTATTCACTTGACTCTGAAGATGACTTCCGCTCAGGTTGTCGAAACATCAGTCACCAATGACATTTCTTTTCAGAACTACCCTCATCCGGACGATCACACTATACAAACTACTGATACTCCTGGGTTCAAACCATGTACTACAAACAATTAGTTTTACTACCTACCCTGGGTCAAACATGTAAGTTAAAAAATAGTCTTTTCAAACAAGTGCATAATTAACCTCATTACAACACAACTAACTCAACACTGCAGAGATCAGACATTAAACTCCACTATAGCTGGGACATTTAAACATGACAGGTGTTTTTGTTTCAGCTATTGTCACAGCAACAAAACTTGTTTCAAAACATGTACCTATTCACTGGAGCACTTTCATGATTGCCAACTGCAGGAAACACTTTCAGTCCAGGCAAATATTTTTCCAAAAGTTTGGTGGCATAGTCTAAGGCCTTTAACTGTAGGAGGAAAAATATAATACAATTTTAATGATTTTATTAACCCTCTGACGTACAAGGGGGAGGGGGGGGGATGAATGCAACCCTCCCCTCCCCAATAAGGTTTTTTCAAAGTTCTGAAAAGATGATTTACTCTAAGGGGCTGAAACTTTCAGTAGCTGTTCCCCATTCTCTGCGGAAATTTTGACATGTAAATTGTCTATCCATCATTTTTGACATTGCCATGGCAACCACCAAATTCCATGTAGGTCTGACCAAAAATCAGCTTTTTTGACATAATTCTGCAGTTTTTTCCAGTTTTCTTCATGAAATAGCAGAAATTCACGAATTTGTACATTTCGTAAGCATTCTGGCTTGAATTTGTCTTAATTTCCTTTATTTCTTGACTTTTTTTGAAAAAAAGTGAAATCCAAGATGGCAGTCTAAGATGATGGGTCAAATGATGTCATTACCAACAAAAATGGTATCATCTTGTAGAGCAAACTCAGGGCTATCTAATGAATGTTATTTATTTCACTCTGCCTTAACGGAATGAAAACCAAGAGGGGGGATTCTATCCACCCCTCCATCCCCCTTGTACCATGCTGGGGGTATGAGTTAGCTTGCACACCCAAGGGTTAATGTGTTGATTTAAAAATCTAGCAGATGGGAATCCCCTTTGCTAATAGGGTACACTTGGGATAACTAAAAAAAAAAATCAAATTTCACACTAAATAATTGCCTAACAAAATTGATCACAAAACTTTACACAAGGTACATGTACATGTAGAGGGATAAATTATATCTCTCGACCAGGCTTTCACATTATGGTTTTCACCATAAATGGCAACTAAACCAGAATTTTTGGTTGCTAAGAATGAAATTTTAGTCACATTGACAACAATTATACCACTGGTCGCAATCTCAAGCCCTGTTTCAGGAATACACCTGATGTTTTGGTTTTGTTAAAATTTATTCTATAAATCCACCAGATGAAGATTAAATTTACCTGGAGTGGTGGATACCATTACCCATCATAATGTATATAATTTATATGACAATATTTACGACATGCTGTAAACTGCACCTGGTCTGAACGTGACTGGTTCCAAATATTATGTGCTGGAATATCTCCCGTCCATAGAGCATAATCAATATCCTGTAAACCAGCAGTCAAATTATCATTTCAATGTGGCCAAAGGATATACGAAATAAAAAAAATAAGATGAAGGAGAAAGCTTGTAATGAAGTCTGCATGACCAAGCATGGCCAGCACACTATGATGATCAATAGCTGAAATATCTACAATAAATACTATGCACATTGCCACCAGGACACTCACAGCACATTATCAACACAACACATCTATACAAGTTCAGTATACTTGAACAGATGATGCACATGCACTCTCAAATTAAACTTTCTACCAAATGAGAATTATATTTGACCAAAATACTATACACCGTAAAAATAAGAGAGAGATATATTGATTATTACCTGATGAGTGTTGTTGATGTGCTGGAGCATATTCTCAAATGTTATTGGTGGAATATCACATGAATAGTCCCCATACTTGCCTGCTTTTCGTTTTCCAGGTGCTAAAGCAAAACAACATCACAATATTAAACAATGAGTTAATAAATGTTCCAACGAAATGGCCTGAAATTTTTAAGATTGATTTGGAAAATGGAAACATACATACCAGGGGGGCTATCATTACTGCGGCAACACAGTGGCTCACCACAGTCTGGGTTGCTTCCCTCTTTATACAGATGATCAAGATGGATGTCAGAGAACTGCAGGACACGGGAAACTGGTGAACCAGGCTGAAATGGGAAATAATTAAAGGTGTACGTGTATATGTGGATCTAGTGTTATTAAGACAAAATAACTGAAATAAAGTTGAACCTCTACTGAAAGTCACCTCCCCACAATGGCCACTTTTTATGTCCATGTGGACAGTTCAGACATTCACTCTTATTTTAATTTTAACAATGGTCACCTCTCCACAGCAGCAATGACCACTAAAGCACCTCCCTTCTGATAAAATAACCTCTTACATATTTATATGCTGCAACAAGTATAAAAAAAAAAATGCTGCGTCCCCCAAAACAAACAGGTATCACATCCCTACCTCCCCATTATAACCACCTCTCGACAACAGCCACTTTTCTCTGTCCCCAAGATGCTCATTGTCAAGAGGTTCAGCTGTATAGATATCATAACCACAAAGAGCATGAAGTTTATGTTTAAATTCTTCGCATATTGCATTCAAAAGTTGAAAAATAATTTGTACCAAATGTTTGTGTAGCTGGGTGGCAAGAGCTGCTTGTTTGTACAAGTGTGATGGTTTTCGACAGGAAATATGTTGTTCAGTATCCAATGTATTTCTCTCATGTATCTCTAAATTTGCTATTTGAATAATTTATGGCACTTTACCGGACAAAAAGTGCTTCAGTTGCCAGGAAGTGGAAAATTGTGGAATGGACTACACAATGAAATTAAAAAACTCTCCATATTTACATTTTAAAGACTTCCTTAGGCAGCTATTGTTAACTTTCATGTTGCTTTTCTTTCGTTTTTATTTTGATCTTTGATCTTTGATCACAGCAGTTGAAAGCAGCCTTTATTTGTAGAGTTGTATGACTGCGGTTCAATAAAGATGAGATTACATTTTGGAATGAACCACGCCAAGTCACCAGTCACCTGATTTGGATGTCTTATGATCTATGTAACAAGAGCACAGCTAACTTTCAATGCAAACAGTGAGTTCTAATGTACCAAGGAAATCTTTCAGTATCATTACGTAACTGTTAAATTAAGGCTGACAAAAATTGCATAAAAACTTAAATGCTTGATCCTTACCTTTGGGGACGGGACAGGCTTCACAGGCGGCTTTTTACCAGGCACTGTTATATTCCAAAATTCGTCAGGATCCCTTCTGTGAGCGCAAGTTGGTCCAAACAAGCTGCCACAAACCTCTGAAGGGTTCAGGAAAACTTTGTCGGCAACTGTCAACACTTCAGTTCGAAATTCTACTATGACCTGGGTACATACTCGATCGTCCTCTATCTTCAACTCTTTACAGACCTTCTGTGACACAGAAACCACTTCATCCTCTATTTTGTTTGCCAGGAAAGTGGCTTGAGCCAGAAGAGATAGCAACTTACAAACTTCGCAACTGTCACTTGACAAGACTTTCGTCCTTATTTCGCTATCCAAACGCTTGAGCCAAGCTGTAAAAGCATTGGTTTCCTCTAATGGCTTCGAAAATGAACTCAGAGAGAAGGAAAGCACGACGAAACACGCTAAAATAGATTTGGAAGCCATGAGCGGCTCGACAGAAAACCGAAACTACCATAAAAGCCAAACTATGGATGCCATTGTGGGAGTTGTGGAGGTGTGTTGATCATACGATTTTCACGTGACTAAACAAAAGTGTGCCCGCACTCCTTATGGACTGAAGATCATATTTCACTGAGCACGGACATGGTGTAACATTCATATAGTGTTGCTGCATTATAACGTCATTGTGCAAATGATGTCTTTTGACTACTACCTGCTGACATTAAAACGACTTGTGAAACTTAAGCATCTCTGTAAATATCCAGTTCTGTGGGTGTACTTTGTATTGAAAGAGAAATTGACTTTTCGTGGTTTTCTTGAGTTTTTATAAACTTGCCTCACACAAAAAGTATTTTATCATCGGAAACTGCACCACTTAGTGACAGATATTATAGACAAAGATTCCTCTATTGGCGGCGTAACACTACATATGGCTGCCATATGACTCGTGTGGCTACGGGATCTATTGCATCCGCAAACCATTCAGGATGTACCTACTGCAGCCAAACCTCATAACATGCCCGTGGAACAATGGGCAGAGGCGACCGCTCCCCACCCCTCCACCCACCCCCAAAAACATAATTAACGGTAATCAGGAGAAAATCAGGATAAATCTAGATTATTGAGAGATTCGTACGTTAATATTACAATCCCCGCTGTCGCCGTTATGGTCGCCAGGTCACCAAACGCAACTCGCTATCAGTGACGTCACCTATTGTCATTTATATGCAAGCCAGAGAACTATTGGCTGATGAGACAACGAGTTCTATTGTTTAACCTTTTGTACATTTAAATAACAAAAACAAAGTTTGTAAACAGATATGTTCCCTGTAGGTAAACCAAATCAGGGTGTCCCTAAGGACTCTTTCCCAACTGACTAAGCAAAAGCCTAGCCTAATCGTAGTGATTTGTCGTTAAGTGTAATTGCAATTTTGAAATAATTGCAATATCTAAAGAGAAAAACAGCATCAAATTTATCGAGTTTTCTTATTCAACGACACCAACAACGCCCCACTGCTAGTTTAAGGTGCGTCAGCTTCTGCGACACTACTCACGCTAAATAACCTGTCTTCATTTTAATTAGGTATTCAAAAGTTGCCAACACCTGCAATATCTTTTGTCAATATGCTCCAGTAAACTAGGAATTTATAATAAGCCCTGGGCATAATTTCAACCTTCTCATTGTGCCTCGGCTTCACCAAGAGCTCTAACTTTTGGGAAACTACAATAACGTGTCATCCCTCATTAGCTGTAATTCAAAGCTGAGGCGATAAAACGATATGGATCTTACTAAACTGGGAGGATTCATGATTCTTCTGAAGTCAGTTGGAACTTTATGGATAAACGAAAAGCTGGGTGAGTAAAAATAATTTAGACTACTGTGAGGTGAAACTCCTCAGTTCCAAGTCGGTGTGAGGACCCTGTAGGGTGCGAGATAATTGCATTACAATATGTAGGCAAAATTTGCTTTTATTTTAGATGAGGCTCAACAAATTACATGACTGTATCTCTTAACGAAAACACGATACGACAATAATATTTGCCGGTCATGCTTTTCGCTCTTGAATAAATTTATTTATTTTATCACGTGATCTTAAAACTGAAGGCAACGTTTACTAGTTAAATATTAACTACCGCTGCATCCTTGGTATTTAAATTTCAGAGCCGTTATTTTCTTTACATTATGGTAATCGCCCTGAGGAGGACTAGTGTTGCTAGTTTCTGACCTTCTTCTTTAGTACCAGTCTTGCAATCAATTTCGTTTTATTCACCGTACAGTTGGTGCCTTCGTCTTTATTTTGGTGCATACGGCCAAGGATCATTACAGTAGTTTGGATAAACGATGTTTGTTTGCGTCCTTAGTTTGAAAGTTGAACTTGCGTTCAGCGTATACGGTGTTCTGAACATCTTAACACTGGACCCAACCTGTAAATCTACGTTTCCCCTTGTAAAACTGGAAGGGACTGGAAAACGAAACTCTGGCATCTGCGTCAAAAATAGTACTTATTTTATCCTAAACAGAGAAAATAGATAGACGGAGGAAACACTGAAAATTGACCAGATTCTAAGTATTTAGAAGTACTAGGACCGCTATTCATTTAAAGGATAGCTATGACGTTAATAGGTATATTGAATACACAGCAGCTGTTACAATCGTTTTATTTTTAATCAATATCGACGGACCCCTCGTTTTTTTCCCTCTCAAACTGAGTCGTGTGAATTTCTTTCACTGCTTAGGTTGTCCAAAGGACTGGAAAAGATTTGAGAACTCATGCTACATGTCACCCAGAGTAGCGGCTGATTGGTTTGGTGCTCAAACAAACTGCAGCACTTACAATGCTCATCTGGTCACAGTTTCATCCCGAAGTGAAAATTCGTTTCTGATCCGAGAATTTATAACAAAACAACACAAAAGCAGGCATTTTTGGATCGGTTTACAGAGAGCTCCCTTCGATGACTCGATTTGGGTCTGGGTCGATGGATCCCGATTGACATTCAGGGACTGGTATTCTGGGCAACCCGACAATTATCGCCAGGAGGAGTACTGTGGGGAAATGTATGTTCTGTATGTACGTTCCGGGGTGGTGAAGTGGAACGATTTGAACTGCTCCCAGGCCTCGAGATTTATTTGTGAAAAAGGTAAGCCATGTTGTTCATTTTTTTTTTTTTTTAATAGTTTGAATCTCCCGCGACAAGCTCCGCAACAATGACGGGAGACAGGGCAGAAAGCAGGACCGGTTGGGAGCTGGTATTCTAAGAGGGTGGGAAAATGGTAGAATAGTGAAAAAAAAATCGCTGTTTTGTGTTTTGTGGGGAGGAAGCAACTAACGGTGGCTGAAAAAAAAAACCTCCCCCATATTAAAGCACTTCTCGTTTTTCTCCCCCGATAATGCTGTGTTCAAAAAAGTTTGAGCTCAGTCGACTCTTAAAATATCGATCCATCAAATTGCATTACGAATCTCAGAGGGTCCACAGACATTTTGGCAGACCATGACTCTGTACTATCGACGCCTTAAATGATAGTATATATTTTTTCTAACAGAGCTTATTGGCCTGCCATCATGCTCCGAAGATAATGGAGGTTGTCAGCACTTATGTCTCTGGGCGTTTGATCGTCGTGTTTGTAAATGTAAAGATGGCTTTATCTCTGAAAAGGATGGATCTGTATGTTTAGGTGAGTGAAGATTCATTTTACACAATACAATTCTGAATCAGATCATCAACAAAAATTAAGGGTTCCGTGAACAACAAATGAAAACGTAAGGTAGAGTAAAATTTACTCGAATACTCCATCTTAAGGGCAATTTATCTCTGTCTTTCGTGCTCAAAACGTTGGACAATCTGTACATAAGATCGTGGCGTTCCCAAGATAACGATCAAAGGCTTAATTTGGAGAATGAGAATGCTGTCCCGGTGAAGAATTGGAACAACCTTTTTTGTCTGCCCCGGTGGAGCCTTTGTTAAAAACCTGTTAACCCTATTACAAAGCGGTCTTATCTGGTGATGTAACACCTTATAGTGAGAACTATCTGTAGTCTTACTATTACGAACAAAATAACTGACTTTCCTGTGATGGAATCAGTGGCCTGGAACAACAATGAGTTCATTGGCAGTCAATGGCGGTTTAGGATTTGTAAACTAAAGATTAGATCATTTGTTTAGAGACTAGCATTAAAACAGGTGATTTGTAAAATGTCATTCGCTTACACCCCCGATGGTGGGACACCGGATAGCACTATCCCGTCTTGGGTTATGTTTTGAGTACGTTCTGGTTACGTGTTCTTGGATTGAACTCTACTCGGTTGAACCCAAGTTCTGTTATTTCTTGGTCTCCGAAGATTTTATCTGATGTAAAAGATCCTGGCCTCCCTAACTCCCCTCTGAAGCCAGAGAGTTTCTCCGGCCAAGTTTTAGAAAATTTGTTTTCCCAGACCAAAAACCTATTATCGCATTTCAACTGAGTTTCAGCTTTGAAAATATTTATATCTAACGGAAATCAGTTTTTGCCGCCAGTGAAAACTCCTCGATTAAAATCTTGCCAACGTATCAAAAGTGGAGTCGCGGTAGCCCCATGGTTAGCGCACTCAACTCCGGATCGAGCGGTCTGGGTTCGACTCCTGGTCGGGGACATTGTGTTGTGTTCTTGGTCAAGACACTTTTCTCTAGCTCTCACTGCGATTCCTCTCTCCGCCCGGTTGTTTAAATGGGTACTGGCGAATTTAATTCTGGGGAAGGGGGTAACCCTGCAATGGACTAGCACCCCATCCGCGGGCCTAATAGGCCAATTGGCTAGTATGCAGACTTTAACCCCCACCCCTCCCCCTTCTTAACCAATCCAGCAAAGCGAGAGGGCTAAGGTCCGTAAACAGGTGCTCCCCTGAATGCCCAATTTTATTTTTCATTGTTTTAATCGGTTCTTTCCCAGTTGGAGAGAAGGACGTGATGATTCTGGTCATTTCTCACCCCTTCGTGGATCGCCGTATTACTTTATCTATATCGTCGCCGGACTGATCTATACTGATATACTCAGCTCACTACTACCTGGGGTCGGGGGACCCATGGCAACCAGACCTGACCAATATGACAAATATATAAATGATATTTCTCTTTCAGATCCGAAGACGTTCATGCCTCAAGAAGTTCAACCACAAACGACCTCCACCCTTGGTGTGGTCTTACTCGTCACCCAGTTAATTTCCCTCGTTCTTCTGATCCCAATGGCCTTCGTTCTTGTTTCGTTCTACAGAAAGGTTGCAAAGCAAAGGCGTCGTGATAACATGGAATCACACTCTATAATGATCAATGCCCCAGGAACTAACGAACACAGTTTAGAAAATCAAACCTCTCCGCTTACCACCTCAACGTTTGACGATGCTGGCAATGGCCAGGACACTTGTCGGGCGTAAAGCAACTGTTTGACGCAACACTTTGTTTTCAGTGTTGGTTGCGGGTAGTTTATAAGGATTCTTTAATCAATCGCTCGCGCAAGAACGGGGCATGACTTGATGAACAGCCTCGAGTTTAACATTTTGATTCATATCTTTGTTTTGGGGAAATATGTTCAGTATCATTATTTAAAAAAAGCACCATTGAAACGATCATCATCGTCATCAAAAATATTCTGAGTTATAAACATTAATGTTGGGATTTATTTTTAGAGTATTGCACATTGTCATGTTTGAATGTTTTTATGGAACTGTCAACAATGAATTTTTTTGTATCTGGCTATCAAACTGCAAACAAATTAAAGCCGCTCTGTGATCTAAACTAAATAATAGTGATCTTATAATATTATTTCTTGACATGGACCAGTAAGAGTTATGACCATACAGATGTTGTCATCAAATGCTTTTATCTATGAATAAATTTTAACGAGTTAGCCCCCGATCGATCGAAACCGCTACCACAAATTAAAGCCTTTTTTTCCCATTCCTCGTTTACAACTTTAAAAGAAACCTTAATGAGCATAAAACATTGGAATTCCTTCCTGTCAAATTTTGTAGCTATACACCTGAAATAGAGACTACGAGCATTCCCGATTGGGGTCACCCCCAACGGATAGGCCTGTCCCGATTGTGCTCGGCAACTTTTGAGCAACTTTTGGCGTTTGGAGCAACTTTTTGCGGTTTTAGCAACCTCGAGCAAGTTTTGCCTT